GGAATTGAGACGGAAAAGGGGAAGAGACACTGGAGAAAGAACATGTAGGGGGGAGGGTAGGAGGCCAGCTTGCTCTTGGCTGCATAGACACGATGCAAAAAAAGGCACCCTAAGTTTTTTTTCCATAAAGATGCTATGAAATGAAAAGTCCCAGGCCAAGACAGATTAGGTGAGTCTGTGGGTACCTTTAAAACTGAACACAATTCATAGCCTAAGCTTCAATCCCCCAATTCACATTCCCTCCTACTAAAGTGAGGCCACAGAAGAGCTCATGTTTCAGGACCCAGACCTGCCTCCTTGCTGCACTGTCTCTGGCCGGCCGGGAGGGGGAGGATGGCCCATGACTCAGCATGAATCCTGCAGAGTCACTGCTCAAGGATAGCAAAGGTGACTTGAGCCCAGCTTTTGTAGGAAGAGTCTGACACAGCCCATCTGCCCCAATCTGATCTGCTTGTGCCACATTGGTTTGGCGCTTTTTTAAAAAAAAAAAAAAAAACAGTTTTACCGTTTTCCAGGTGCTCTTACATCTCTGTGACCACAACCCCAGCACAAATCCTGTGCTCTCCCAATCCTACAGGTCAACATGGTTCCCAGGTCCTTCTAGGGACTCCAAAAGAGGAGAGCAAACTGTAGGACTCAACAAGATTTCTAAAGAGCATATAACAAAGAGGCTCCTGGCTGACCCTCAATGTCACCTTCCAGGAAACTAGCATGTTAAACTCCATATGCTAGGAACAGCTTTAAGTGGATTGAGGCTAAGCAGGTGGCATGCCAAGACTGAGGGTGGAGCTGGCCCCTGTTCCTCAAAGGACAAGAAGACAGAATTTAAGTCTTAGCTTGCTGATCTCAAATAGTGTATCAAACAATAGCAGGTAAAGTGGGAGAACTAGGCAGCCCTGCAGAGTGAGTCCCCCTGTTAGGTCATACCAGCCTCCTTCTTTGTTGAAGGAAAGGGTCCTGGGACTGGATTTAGGTGATGCTGATTTTAACAGACTTGCCGATGATGTTTGTGTGGATTGTAGGGGAGGAGTGCTGGGGACCATAATGACAAGAGAGTAATCCACTGTGGCCCTACCCTGCCTGACAAGCTGGATGGGAACTTATAAAGGACTAGTCATAGCTTCAGATGACAAAACTGGGCCAGACCAAAATGATGAATGAGAAAGAATTCAACATGGATAGATGCCAAGCCTCACCTCTAATCAAGGTCACCTGGCAAGTCCAGCAGTGAGGCAGAATTGCTTCTAATAGTATCCAGAGGAACGGCCTGGGCAGTATGTGGACCACAGGCTGTCTGTACTGGGTGACGGGCAAATGCAGGCACAAATGCACCTGCCTGGGCGTACACAACACTCCCTTTGGGACAAAACTTATGGCTGTATGCAGAGGGCCACCTCAAGGCGCTTAAGGTTTCCAAACCAGCATACCCAAGAGCTAAAGCACCTGGGGTCTACTGTCCACCCTAGGAGACCCAAAGCTGTGCTATGGGTCTAAACTTGCCTCAAGTCACATCCTTGCTTGGCTTCTGTCCTTCCCTACCTATTCTCCTCACCTCAACAGACTAGTAGGGAGGGATGTCCTCCTCCCTATGGCTCTAGGAACTGACTTCAGAGGCTCCCAGCCAGAAGGCACGTGTCCTAAACAAGGTGCAAAACTGTGGGTGAAGAACCTCGGATGAAGAACCTGGGCTCTGAAGGAGGAATGTTAAAGGAATGGGATGTGGACTACCAGAGCAGCCAAGCCGGCAGCAAAGGACTACTAGGCCTATCTGTAGCCATGAAACACTGGGCAACACCAGCATGTGAGCTTAGCCCTAACTGGAGCCAGGTGCTCCAGTGGATTATACAACTGCATCCCCACAAGCCAAAAATGAAGTACTGCTACTTCCATTTTAGAGCTACAGAAGTTTCAGGTCTTCAGGACTAGTGTCTTGACCAAGATTCTATGAACATCAATGTGAATTCAGAGTTCAATCCTCAGCTCTAGACCCCTAGGCTATAGTGGCCCATCCCAATCCCAAATTATTAGAACCTACATGGGGTAGGCCCACTTCAGCCACTATCAAATAATAATCTAATATCCAGGGGACAGAGACCAGAACAGGTGACATCACAGTGGAAGAGGACACTTCTCTACTTCCTACCCTCCCCAATACTGTGACCACCAGCAGGTAAAGAGCCTAGATTTGAAGTGATCCCAAAGAGAGTGACAAGGCCTGGATTCCTTGTGTGTTACCCACAATAAGCCCCAGAAAGCCAGACTTTGGCTGTCCAAGCCCCAGGTGCCTCAAAAGGAGAACAAATAGAACGGGTGGCCCCTGAAGACAGAACGGGTGGCCCCTGAAGACAGAGGAAAAAAGGCTACCAGAACACAAGCCCCTGAATTCTGGGGTTTATGCCTCACAGGACAGAATTTACAAGAACAAAGGAAACAAGGCTAGCCATGCCCAATGCCCCAGTTCTGCCAATGCCTGGCAAAGCTCTGATCTCTCAACTTGTATTTGTTTTTAATTCAAAATTAGACAAACACAGACAGTGAGATCTACCACCTCCAAAAGGTGTCCCAAATGCCTAGCCAGAAATCAGGAGTCCAAGAGCAGAAGTCTATAAAGAAAGTCAGTGACCATACTCAAATGGGTCCAGTACCCAAATCAGGTCTTACCTAGGAGGGGGCCCAATAAGGGTAGGAATGGGTCTAGTTCAGAAATTAATCAACAGATGCCATAGGCGGACCTGAGAATAGGGGCTGTACAGCTGAGCTAGTGGGTGTCCCAGGATTTCCAACCAACACATAGGCTGGGCTGGGTTCTAGCACCATCATACAGGATGAAGCTAAGTGGGTGGCTGGCTGTTCTGTCTACACCACAGTGGGTCCACCCTGGCTTTCATCTGGGTACCAGGTTCAGCATGGGAATTGCAGGTTGGCACAATCTGCCCAACAATAAACCTGAGGTCTGCATGTGCGTTTCACTGTCACTAGGCAAACCCTGTGCTGTTTCCCTTCATGTGGACCTCCAGAGCCTGCCCACCCACCCTCGCTTGTCCCAGAAAGTGGCCTCGCTGTCCTCCTGCCCCACGTGAAAGGATCTCAGCCTCTGTGACTTCTTCTCACTAAACAGACTGTACACATGGGTATGGGACTCTTCCCCCACCTTCTGCAGATCCCATAATGCTTGCCACAGGCACTCAAGTCAGCCTCCCAGATGATGAACACCCAATGGTACCTGCCCAACAGTGGCTCAACATATTTTAGCAGAACAGCTATCCCCACTCCACCCACCTGCCCAGGCCCTCTGTGTCAACAGCTTTCTCAACTGTGGCCCTGTGTGAAGGTGACATTGCCCCATATCCCCAAAGCTATCTGCTCGCTCACTCTCAATCAGGCTCCAACGCTGGGGTGCTGGTACCTATGTATGAAGGAGACAAGGTGACCATATGCCATACCCCAGAGCATGATGTACTTGCCTTGCATTACACAAATATTCAAACATTCCCAGAACTTTAGGGGGCGTGCTTACTCCCTGGGAAAGGCATAGTACCAGTAAGACTGCCTATTATGAGGCTTCTCACCTAGAAAGGCAGCCTCTCTTGCCTTGTTTGACCCACAGACATACTATTCCTGCTCCAAACCATAAACCATGTCACAGAGTTTTCCTACTTCAGAGAGCATCAGGACTTAGCAGATGGGGCAGATAAGCCACTTTTCAGGCCCTGGGGTCCCAGAAGTGACTTCAGCTTTCCTTGTACAACTTATTCAAGCTTCAATCCTACAGGAACATGACTAAATCTGAGGGTCTGAGTCTACCTACCTCTAGAGCTATCTCACATGTATAACCTGAGGGGCTCTATCCCAGGAGCCTAGGAACTTCAACAGACTACCCCAATCCTCCTGGGTCTTGAGAAGCCCTTGGGTAATAAAATCAGGCAGCTAAGGCCCTGTGTCCTCTTTCCCCGCCCAAATCTACTGGCCCCTACTGCTCGGGGCCCATGTTCGGCCATTTCTAACATAAGCCATTTCTAACCCTTGACACTCAGAGCCTCTCAGCTCTAGCCATTTCCCACCTGGTGAGAACCCCAAGGCCAGGACCCCAGCCACCAGTTAGGAAGAAAGTCAATGGAGTGGGGTAAGATAGATACCCTTTCAAGCACTGAAACACATTTGGGGACAGGTGGCCACTTGTTCACCACTTCCTGAGGCAGGGAACCTCATACAGGGACCTGCAGGGGCAGGTTTGGGAAACTCCCTCAAAGTGGTATTCACAGCCCTTCTGTAACATTCTAGTCCCTGTACTCCATGGGCAGTGACTTTGTCTCGTTCCTCACAGACCTGGCAGAGAATGTACACTCAATTAGTCCTTCCTGACCCTACCCACACTGAGCTGGCCTGGGTGTATGTCTCAGGCCAGCACCAGGGCTCAGCTGGCCCTAGTTCTAATCCTTCCATACTATATCAAACTGTCTTCCTCAGAACTCATTGGCTAGATCTTTGCCAGGCTTCCTCTGTGACATTTGAAAAGAGGGGTAAAGAGGTGAAAACCTCAACAAGGTAGGTGATGAGCACAGTAGATGGCAGGCAGGAGGCTTCTAGCAATGTCAGTTCTCTAAGGACCAGGGCAATCCCTGCCACGTGGACCTCCTGTGTAATGTAAAAATTCATTAATTCCTAGCAATGCTATTAAAAACAAAACCACCAAGTCCTGGGGGAGTAACAGCAAAATTCTGCGGACAGACCAAACAAAAGGTTAAGTACTTTTACCGGAAAGAAACCAGGATTTTGCTGATGTGCAATGCAAAAATCCCTGCCCCAAAGTCCAGAGCCCAGAATGAAGAAGTGGCTCTTAGGAATCAAGCCCTTAAAAGACAGCCCAGCTGCATAGAACTGCAAGCCCAAGGCTGATGTTCAAGTGAGAGGGTGGGTTCTGGTGACAGAGTCTCCACTGTGACTGTCACTGGCCTAGAACCAAGTCTAGAATCAAGGTCAGATTCAGGGGTCACAATTGCTCATTCTGGAGCCGCTCCAGAGCAGCCACAGCAGCTGGGGCGCCTCAGCGACTGCATGACAGCCCGCAGAGGGCCCCGGCGGCCCTCTGTAGATAGGCTGTCCTCACTGGCTGGTGCCTGTTGCAGCTGCTCAAACTGCATCTCCAAGTGCTTCTGGATGGCAATGCCGAGCACCTCGGGGTCCACTGAGGCTCCATATACCTCCCATGTCATGCCCTCAGCATCCCATCGCACTTCTCTCACGGGTGATGATGCCTTTTCCAGGCCGGCCCCCAGCATTACCTCTGGGAAAATGTTCTGAGTCTCAGGTTCTTCCAGGGATGGGCTGGTAGCCACAGCCTTGCAGGCTGCCACTGGAGCTACCTGAACCCCAGCATCCTGAGCTGATGCCACACCCAAGGCCAAGTCAGTGGCTGAGGTCATGGTCCACACATCTTTGGTCCTGGAGCCAGACTCTGTGGCCAGCCCTGTAGGCCCCCAAGGGTGGACACAGCAGTGAGGGTGCCCAGAAATCCCCCCAGGCAATTTACAGTGAAATTTCATGCCACACTGAGCCTGCAACCCAGACTCACTCACTGATGCCACCAATTTGGGAAAGGCCAGGATGCCTGTTGCAGGCAGAGCATGGTAGCAGCCACCAGATGCAGTCTCCCTCACAGTGCAGAGCAGAGCTGCTGGGGGCAGAACCTGGCAGGAAGTGGTAGGTGGCTGTCCAGTAGCTTTGGGTCCACCCTGGGGACTGCTGATGAGACCAGCTGTACCTTCCAGTTCTACAGTTGGCACCAACACCTGACTCTCCCCCAGAATGCAGGCTGATGTAGAAGTCCCATCCTCTGGAGCCAGGTCACTTTGCAGGACTCCAGGGGTCTGGCCATCTTGCCCAGCAACACTTCCAAGCTGCAGCTGAGCCGTCTGGACAGGTGAGCTGCCAAGGGCAGAACAGCTAAGGCTGGCCTTTTGAGCACTGCCATGCCCCCGGGTTTGGGTACTATGAACCAAGTCTGAGTGGCTCCTCTGCACAGCTGCTACACTGGGGGCCCGTAGGCGACACAGGTCACCGATGCCCATGGTAGACACATTGCCAACAGTGCTGCTTCTCCAGTGGCCTCCAGCACCAGGCTGTGGCCAAGGACTCGAGGTCTGTGCTTGGTCCATGCTCTCAGTCTGGCACCCCTCTTCCTCCAGAGTCCGGGGACTAGGGCTGGCCTCACCCGGCTGTGCCTGCCATACAGTGCTGCTGGCACTCTTACGCAGCTCTGGTCTCTGCTCCCGGCCTTCACACAGCAAGCTAGAAGAACTCTGGGACAGGGGCTGTGGACGAGGACTTTGGGATTCCCGGGCACCTGGTTCGGGGTGGCTAGAACTCATGGTTGCCTACAAGAGAGAAAAAAAAAAAAAAAAAGGAAGGGGGGGAAGCCAAGCTGGGTATTGTCACCTCAGCTGCATTCTTCTCTGAGCTTACACTTTGCTAGACACACTGAGGAAGCAGCTTCAGTCCCAGCTGACTGACTGACTGATGAGAGCCATAAGGATATAAGTGACAAGACACATACCAGACACTTCAAATCAAGGCTTGCATAGATGATGCTGCAAATACCTGATAATCACTATTCCTGAGATGGGCCCCGGAGACCACCACCATGCCAGTTTTTTTTTTCCATACATACGTAATAGGTGGAGGCGGGGAGGCAGGTGTGGGAGAACCCAGGAGGAAGGTCCAGCGAGTTGGGGTCCTAAGAGTGGACCTGTGGCATCATAAGGAGGCTTTGGGAAAACTGCTCTCAGCCAATCAACACAGAAAGATGGCAGATTTAACAGCCAGCACAGCTGAGTACTCCTGGGACTGGCAGCAATCACTTGCATGGGGACTGGGGCATCCTGGGCACAGAGTGGGGCCTCAGAGAAGGTTTGCGAGATAAGAAAGCAATGAATACTGGATTCGATGAGAATTTCTCTAGTTCTCCTCACGCCCTTCTCTCATCCTCTCCAGCCTGACCTACTGAACTGTGACACATCTCAGACTGTCTTGTCAGAAGTGAAGGCAAACAGGTTCCTGACTCTCCCCCTCCCCCTGGGAAAGGGAGACATTGCAATCAGCCCTTAATACTGGTCCTCACTCCATTTGTTCATTCATCTGCAGCCATTTCCTGAGCCCCTGCTGAATGCTGCACTCGCTGTTCTGAGCTGGGAACGTGGGGATCATTTAGCTCTGGCTATTCCTGGGGATGACCATCCAGCAGTAAGAAAAAAATGACCAATGGCAAAAATCAGACACCCTCTGCAAAATGTCAACTCTCTTCCCAGTGTGTCTACTCCAGCACGAGATCCACCACCGCCACCCCCAGAGCTACCTATACTCCACACAACCCCTTTCCACTTCACCATCTCCTCCTGAGAACCTTTCCCAGCTGGTCCAGCTGGGCGGCCTCCATCCCTGGCTTTAGCATCAAGGAGCCTGGACAGAACACTCTGGCTGACCCTCAGCTCCCCTCCCCCGAGCCCAAAGTTAGCAGAGTCAGGACTATGGTCTGTTATATTTACTGTCAGAGAAGTGCCTTGCCCTGACAAGCTGCTGGCATTCAGAGGACAGATGCTGCATGGCAGGCAGACAGAGAGAATGAACATAAAAACAAGGCCATAGAGGAGTGGGCTAAGTGCCCAAAGCTGTCTGAGGAAAGGCCCTGCCAAGGCAAGGAACTCACAGGGATGGTAGGGAAAACTTTCTGGACAATCAACACAGAAAACATGGCTGGAGAGAGAGGGAGAAGGGTAGGTTGGGACATGGGCAGGGCCAGAGGGTCAGAATAACTAGGCCAGCCCAGCCCTCATCAAATGGGCCTCCCTGTCAGGAGGGATGGGCTAAAGAGGCAAGGCAGACACAGAAGGCGACAGTTTTGGTTTAGGCAATCCCAATCCTCCCCACCACCTTAGGCTGATAAAGACTGACAGGAAACCAACCATCCTGCCAGGTGAGCAAGGCCACCCAAAATGGAATGTGGCCATGCTCCTGGACTCAGCTTCTGCTGCAGGAACTCTCTCCCTGTCTCGAGTTCAGGACAATACAGGGAGTCTTGAAGCCTAAGCACAGAGTCTAGTCCAATACAACGCCCGCTGTGATGAAAAGGCTAAACCCTGTCCAGTGTAGTGGGCACTAACCACATATGGCACCTGAGCACCTGTCAGGCAAACACTGTGACCAAGACTCTGAACTTTTGATAAATAATTTAAATAACTGGCTACAGGTGGCTAGCAGTCACTGTATTGGGCAAAGCCATACTGAACACAGCCAATTTGGTAAGGAGTGTCCCATCCCAGCTGTTCCTCATGTCCAAAGCCAGACTGGATGGGTGGCAAAGAAAGGACTCTAGCCCAGAACTGCCCTCAGGCAGGCTAACATCCGGTAAACAGGGGAAAGCACTAAAGCTAATGGCAGCTACAATGATGGCAATCACAGCTTTGAATGCTGCAGGCTTGGCCCATAGACTTTGCAAACACTGTCTCACTCCACTGTCACAGCAACCTCATGATGCAATTCATCACCCCCATTCTACAAATGAGGTCACAGCTCAGAAGCTTAGTGACCTGACCAAGGGCACAGAGCTAGCCAATGGCTCAGTGAGGAATCAAGCCCATGTGTATATGAGGTCCTCTAAGCAGTGTGCAGCTCTCTGACCTGACCACTGTACACACCTGGAGTTCCAGTGCCTATCCCTGCCACTGTACTCCCGATGGTGTTCCTGGCATGCCAGTGGAACAAATGAGTGGGAGCAAAGCTTGGCCATCACCCACCCACTTTCCCTGATTCTTAGGCTGCACAGGATAAGGAAGGTAGAAAGACACCTGCAGACTGAAAGTCCTATGGGCACCAAGTGACACCTATGGGTGGTGAGACAACCAACCAACCAACCATGGGGTCTAAGAGCCCCAAAGAAACCCCATCAGAAGAGTCTACACAACCCTGGGTAAGATCCACTACTTTTGATCCTCCTAGGGGATAGAGTAGTAAAGAATGGGCCAGTCCCTTGGTCCCTGGAGGAAATAGGTGAAACAAGACTGAGGGAATCCCAACCCCCACCAAGACCTATTGAGAAGACATGAGCAATGAGATTGTTGCACCTGCCTCCCCAGACACAGCTCCTCCCCCAGAGAGACCAGTGACCACAGAGCCCCCAGTGAGAAGCTATGTATCTATCAGTTACCTCATTTGTTCTAACACTCTACAAGTGGCAGGTGACAACACTCAACCTTGGAGCAATTAAAAAATGTCAAAGACTGAACTGGAATCCAGTTGCAGAGAAGGAGGACTGATGAGCAAAGGGGTCCGTCCACACCAGGCTGGGGAAACACACAGAAACAGCTGACCTGCACAAGGGAGAGCTCTTGGTCCCCAGACTGATAGCTGGGAAACCAGCATGGGACTGATCCAGACCCCCTGAATGTGGGTGTCAGTGAGGCGACCTTGGAAATCTATGGAACCTCTTGTAGAGGATCAGTACTTATCCCTAGCATAGGAATGGACTTTGGGAGACTTCTAAGGGGCCCAGCACATGGAGGGATACTCCCTGAGCCTAGACACAAGGGGGTTGGCCCAGGCCCTATCCCAAAGAATAAGAATAATAACAGACTTTTAAGACCCCATGGAAGGCCTCACCCTCCCTTGGAAGCAGAAAGGGTATGGGATAAGTAGGGTGTTGGGGGGGAGGAGGTAGGTAGGTACAGGGGAGGAGAGGAGGGAAAGGGACCTGGGATTGACATGTAAAATAATTTTCTTTCTAATTAAAATAAAAAATGTCAAAGAACCCACAGCTTCAAATGGCAACTTAAAGCCACACCAGTGTGTCAACCACATGCAGCAAGCAACCAATGGCATTTTGAATTAAAAACCCAAGCTTTGCAGAAATTTCCAGGCCTGCTTATCCAAAGAGATCCACTTGGCCAAAGGCTCCATCCAATGCTTGCCCCAGCCCAGGAATCTAGGCCTTAGGACATGCTCAGTAGGATGACCAAGGTCCCAACTCAGCCCACACTGTGACATGTATGTAAACTCCCCTTTGTAAAGTAAGCCCTACCCCACAAGGTTGCTGTGAAGACTGAGCAAAATGGTGTGAGGTAATCATCTTTTTCTTCTCCATCATCAGTGACTTGAGACCACAGCATTGGAGGAAATCACACTGGGAAAGCCCTAGGAGCAATGATACCCTTTTAGGAAACCAGCAAGATGCCCTATGGTAAGCGTCATCTTCCAGTTCTGGCTACCTTCATCCTATCCTGTGGCATTACTGGTTTCCCCAGTGCCCCATCACCACACTTAGTTTCCCAGGGCCTATTTTAAACCTTCATCTAGGTAGGCTATGCATAAACACAGGCTGAGGTATACATGCCACATGCCTAGAAAGTTTACAGTCATGGGCAGGTTCTAGTTTTACCCAAAAGGGATCCTGGGATGCAGCTAGAGAGATGGCTCAATGGTTAATGGCACATACTCCTCCTGCAGAGGACCTAAGGTTGGTTCTCAATACTCATGTTGGGTGGCTCTCAACTATCTGCAACTCCAGCTCCAAAGGATTAGATGTCTCTGGTCCCCACAGACATCTATACTCACATGTATATACCCCCACACAGACACTCTCCTGGGAAGATGTTTCAGCTTAACGTAAAAGGCAGAGCTATCCAAGAGCATTAGTGTTGAATTAGTTCTTCCTTGATATTCTTTCTCTGGCCTCATTTAATGTAAAAGTCATGATGGCTGTGTCTGGTGTCAAGTGGTCACTGCTGTACTGTCTGGCTGCCTCTGGTTCTACTGTCAACAACTAAAGAATTAATCACCCTCACAAGCAATCAAAGTCATGTTGAAAAAGCACTCCTGCCTCCAAATTTTCAGAAACATCCAGACTAGCCCAGCCTGAGACTGGTAGCTTTGTTTGGTCCGATTCTCACCCCAACTGAGAAGCCTAGACCTTTGGGATGTACACACGGAGACTTCTAAGGGGCCCAGCTCAGACCACACTATGTCATCCATTTAAGTGCTCTCTTCTTAAGCATCAGGTGATCAGATGGGAACCTCTATATCCAGAAAGCCACAAAAGGAAAAGCAAGTCCACAAGAAGGGAGCACAGGAGAACCAGGACTGTCATGGTGTTAAAATACAGAAGTTATTTTAGGACCAGGTAGGGATACCCCCTACAAATCCCTTGTATGGAAGGGTGTGGCCACCAACACCAGGTGGTTTGATCCATTCCAAAGCAAATAAAGGGTCTAACAGAAACATTCAGGCCAAAGTTGAGGAACACAGAGCAGAACATTCCTAATAGGGTTTAGGGGCTAAAACTAGCCCCCCCCCCACAGCTTCTAGCCTCATGGAGATGACA